CGGTTCTTTAGGTTGTGTTGACTGCAATCCATTTCCAGGTAAGAAATGTGGCCGGAACGGTTACAGATGGATCAAGAAATCCTGCTCGATGCAGGAGCTCAACTGCATCGATTGAAGATGTTTCCATACTTTGACATTGCCCATTACATCTTGGTAAGAAAAGCTTACCGAAATTTATAGTATTTTTCTGCTTTTTGCACCAACAATGGATTCTAAATAAAGTTTAGATGATTTGCGAAGTTCGCGATGATCTGGCTACATCGGCTGGTTTGTTCTCGCGTAAGCATCCACTCTCGTGTTGGTTATCCTCAATGCTGATGTGCTTCGCCGACTCCTTCCTGGCTAACTTCCTGCTTGGTGAACCAGTAATTGCACCATTCAAACGACATGACGATATCGTCTTGGTCAGCATGGACCTATTGGACCCGAAAATTATCAAGGAGTCTAATTTCTTTATAGGCCACGATCGTCTGGTATCTAGTTTTCTATGCTCCATTTGACGGCATCTACAAACTATCGAAAGTTTTACCAATCAAATGTGTTCTGTCAGTAATGAAGGAAGTTAAGCGAGCTCATAAGGTGAACTTTGTTCGTGACACAAGGATGTTCAGCATCTTCTGTTCAAATTCGTATTATGCAGGTTACTCACGGAGTCTCACATGCAGCTAAGCTCTATCCCAGCTCCTACATTGTTCAGATCTTGGTGGGAACAGCGAAAGGGGCAGGATCTGGAATTTTGAAGACAGTTGAACAGGTATCTCATCAAACAAAGCAGTGTCTATTTTTCACTCCAATTAAATTGACTTCCAGCTTATACGTGGTGTTTGGCTTCCAAATCACAATGAAGCTCTTCGTCCATCTTTTGCCACAAAAGCCTGTCTTGTAGCATCGATCGTGCTATCGTTGGAGAAGAACAGCGTCTACATCACGGCACCACACGACATCGTCTATCTGGTGAGGATTAGTTAACGGAAGTCATTTCATTATCATATCTTCCTAGTTATAATTCTACAACGCATTTTTTT